GGCTTCTCCGCATATCTCCCCAGGCGGGGGGCTGAGGGCCTCTTCTTCGTGCTCAGCAAGGCCAGCCTCTCGTCACACTTGGTGAGACAGCATTGGACCAGAGCTGCGATGCGAGGGCTACCTCGGGCAAGGCAGGCTGACAGCCGGCAGCGCTTAGCTCTGAAGCCTGGAGGAAGTGGCCACTCCTGGGTCTCAGGGTCTCTGCCACCATACCCCAGAGCCGTGTACCTAGGGTAAGATGCGGCCCCTGCCGTGACAGTTATGTGGTACATGACCCCTGACATTCAGTTTGGCCCCAATAAAGTCAGTTCTTCAACTCTCTCAACCTCCTCCCTCATCAAATATTTGTCTAAGACATTATCAAGGATAAAACTGGTTTGATCCAGGACCTGTTTGTGCAATCTAACAAAAGTGGGCAGAGTGAAGGAGCCTGGGCTTGTTTACCTAATTTCTTGCTTTGGCTCGGTTTACCCTTCTGAAGGGAGGTGCACCAGATGGTAAGTGAGGCCCCCTCCTCTTCCTTCACTTTCCTGCTCCCTGCAGAAATAGAGCCCCCTACACCCTCATAACGTAGCTATCTGCTTCTGTAGAACTGCTTGCTTAACCTAAGTAACTCCATTTTGCCCCCGTCTGACCTGCAGACTATCCCCCCTTCTGCATGAGAAAACACTGACCTTCTCGTAGAAACAAAAACCATTGCACAGAAACAGGAGCCACACAGAGTGAATTATTGCATGGGAACAGGAATCATACACGGTGAAAACTTGTATGCTCGGTTGCTCAAACGGCTCATTCTCAGCCTCTGTGACCTAGCTCCCTAGCTGGCTTTGTGCAGCTGGACAAACCCGTGTGCCAACAGGATGTAGTTTTTGCCTTTAAAAACCCTACAAGACCAAAGTCCGAGGCTGCTCTTCCTTAGTTGTTCCTTGGGAGACGGGCGCTGGCCAGCTGGAGTGAATGAACTGCCCTTTTGTGCACGAGTGGTGTGTAAGTGCATTTCTCGTGGGAGGGGGCCTCACAACGCTGCCAAGGCCTCCATCACCCCCACCCGCAAGACGTCCTTCGGGCAGGTGGCTGCAGGAACCCTGAACTTGGTATGTCTGGAGGGCTCCTTACGCGCAGCCTCCCCACTGGCCTCCCTGCCTCCAGCCTCACTCTCCTCATCCATCTTTCACACCAGTTGCCACATGGCCCTCAAAAGGGCAAATCTGACTGTGTGTCCCCCTAGCTGAAAACCCTCCACACCACTGATCTTGCACATCAGAATCACCTGGGAGGCTCGGGGCTGATGACATCAGCAGCTCTCCATGGATGGGGCCCAGGCAAAGCTAGTGAGGCCAGGCTGCGGGGCCTTTCCTGCTCAGTGCCCTCTGGCCCTTCCAGCCCACCTCCACCTTAGACGCCCAACTTCTCAGTTCCCCAGAGTGCCAGCTCTCCGTGCCTCTGTTCCATTGCTGTCCCCTGCCTGCAGCACCGTGTCTAGCAAGCCTGCCTCCCTCTGCATACCCCGCTGCATTCTCCAGTGCTGTTTATGGACTGGGGTCCCTCCATCCCACTCGCGTGAGCCCCGCCTGCCTCCTGGCCTCTCCGGCTGGGGACTCCCTGACCCCAAGCTCTGAGTCTTGCTTATGGTGCATCCTGCGGCCCAGGGTGGGCCAGGCTCTGTGCTAGACCTGCTGGGCATAGACATCCTCTTCAGAATGCCTCATGCGACCCAGACTCCAGAGGACAGGGAAGAGTCACTGGCTCAGAGCTGTTCCCACGACCTGTCACATTCAGGAAAGCCTGGGCAAGTCGAGCCTTGACTGCCTCGCCACATACTTGTGGTTTTCCTGAAACCTCCCAATCTGACCCCGAGGCCAGAATCACTGGAGGTCGTTCCTGCCTGCCCAACCCCCTGGCGTCAGGGTGGCTCCAACAGAAGTAGGATGCTGGGGCTCAGAAAAGCAATACCCCAAAGTGAAGGCCTCAGAAACAGCTTCAAAAGCAAAGTTTTCCTCCAAGCGCCTGTCTCTCAGCCTTGTTCTCCCCTGAAGCAAACCATAGAAACTAGAATCTCTCTTCCCCAAGGTGAGTCCTAGAAACCAGACCCCTTTTCCCCAAAGCCAGCCATAAAGACTAAAACTGTATTCTTCCCCCGGCCTTGCTGTCTTGGAGCTGGCCATAAAGAAATCTGATTGTAGGCGTAAGACCCCATTTCAAAGAGTCTAGTACCATACCCTGGAGGAAGGAGCACTGCACAGACAGGCCTTGCTGAGTGTCCCCACTGTTGGCGTTCGACTGTACCTTCTTGTCTGATCACTTTCCTACACAGTGGTCCCCGCTTCATAGCACCTAAGCATAAAAATGGACAGTTTCCCTGTATCTGGGTCTTCGTTCTGAAGGCTCCCGTGTCACGTAAAGCTATGATCCAACAAATTTGTTATGGCTTTTTTCCCCGTGAATCTGTCAGCGGAGTTTTCAGTGAGACTTTAGGGAGTTGGGGGGAGTCTCCCTTGCTTGGCCCCTGCAAGGGTGCTGTCCTGGGTCCCATGTTTTTGTCATCGCTCCCCTCCAGGCCTTTGTCTACTAGGCAGGACCTCCTGGGAGTGATGACCAGGGTACTTTTTGTCTCTCCGTGGTTCTCCTTTACCTTGGTTCATATGTGGGAAACTTGTAACTTGAGTTCCTCATCTGGCTTCTCGACTTGGCCATGGAGGGACCCCAGCGCCCAGATGTCTGGGTCAGCCAGACTGGCAGTGCCAATGGGCAGTGGGTGACCAGGAGCTCACAGGCATAGGCTGGAGGCCTTGGCACTGCTTTTTCCATTCTGACCACGGACCCTCTACCCTGTGTGGTGATACCAGTTAGATGATTATGGGGGAACTTAAACTGGAGGCATTTATGCTGAGGGCAGAAGAGCTTTTCTTTCCCCAATCAGCCTTGTTCTGAACATCCATCCTGAAGCCAGCAGGAGCCACCCTTTCCCAGCTCCCTCATGCCACAGGTTCTGGGAAAATGACAGAATCTGCCACGATTCCGTAGCTTCCTGCTCTGCTGCTTTGCTGATGCCTCGTGTCACCCAGGACCCCACATGTCTCACTGCTGTAAAGGAGACCCTGGCACTTGGAACTTCAGGGTACCCAAGCCTGGAGGGTGGGAAGAAAAATGACCCCAACCTGGTCAGGGACAAAAAGAAGGTTATTTGCATGATGCAATTCACGATGTCCTTTTGGGAAGAAACTAGCTTTCTGGATAAATGCAATTGTTGTTAAATTTTGAAGAGTGAAGGTCTGGACTGGGACATAAGTTGCCTTCCCATGTGGAACGGTCAGCTAACGAAAGTCACATGTTTGGTGATCTTTGACCTTGCATTCTTTTCTTTCGTGTTCACTCTAACAATGAAAATCTAACTACATTTTTTTTTAGATTCCTACAAAGATCTCTATCAAGAGGGAAGCCTTTGAAATAGGACACTTTGACTTTTGGAACATGTTTGAGATCAAAACTTTGAAAAAAACATTCATAATGAAATTTTCTGAAAAGCGTGTTTTTTTAGCAAAGGGGTGGGAAATGTAGGTTTGAGAGCACCTGCCGTGCACGGGTCAGCCCCATGCAGGCACTGCCTGGTCCCTGCCCTCCCCGGGCCCCGCGATGCCCTCCCAGCAGCCCCTCCTGGCGCCAGCCAGGCCCACGGAAGGCAGGTGCCGCTGTGGAGGCGGCTCTCCCTTGTTGCATAGTCATGACCCTATTGCGATCTTCCCAGATAACGTCTTCCTTATGGTTTTTAAAAGTGTCAGAATAACTTTTTCTTTTGCAGGTCCTCTGAGTGTGACCCTTTTTTGGAAAATGCAGCCCCCATCCTGAGGAGAGGCTTGAGGGGCCAGCACCCATTCTTGAGGAGGCTTGTCCTCAGGGCCAACCGGGTGAGATACTCCAGCAGGGCCAGCTCTGGTGGTCTTGTGACACTCCAGGGGCCAGAGCAGGTGGTAGTCGTGGAGCAACTCCCACCTGACATCCCGGTCCTTCCTCCCGCAGTTGTGAAAGCTCAGAGTTGAACGGGAATGACTTGCCTAAGGCACTGTCTCCTCCTTCTCGTGCTGATAAGGTCCTGGTTGGGAGGTGGTAGGAATGTTGCCCTGTACTTTGGAATCTTATCTGGAGAGGAAACTGCTCAGCTCAGGAAGAGTGGAGTGGACCTTTCCCTGCTCCCCGAATGGTCACCAGTGGGCCAAGCTGAGCCCCCATTGTGGGAAATCTGGACAAGACATGTCCAAAGACAGCCACTGTTGTAAGCCCAGCTGCTCCTACTATGTGCCGAGCCTTTTACGTACTGTAGCCTTCCCTGTGGGGGAGTCATGTCCTGTGTACAGTGTGGAGACTGTGCTGAGACAGAATAAGGAAGTTGTTGGAGGCCTGCACTCTGGAAGAGGCTGGAGCAAGATTTGAACCCAGGACCCTGCCCTTTAACCTCACCAGCTGCACCCTCAGCTTTCCCATCAGTAAACACCTCCACGTGCCCACTGTGGACTGCGGGGTGGGCAGCGCAGGGGGGGGGTGAGAACTTGGATGAGGACCCCGAGTTCCTGACCCCAGAGGCCTCGAGGAGCCTTTGCCTTGTCTGACCCCTGTGGCTGCTGTGGGTTTGGGAGTGAGTGCGACTGAGGTGTAAGCTGCTCCTCTAAATGACTCACAGGGTGTTCTGAAAAGTGGGCGACAGGGGTATAAGCGTGTTCACTTGTACATCCAACGTGCATTCACTCCACAAACATTTTCTCACATCCGCCCACCAAGTGCCAGCACATTCTGACAACTGCACGGACAGGGCCAGAGACTGCAGAGGAGCGGTCCGCTCATTCACCACTCACTCCACAAACAGCCGGCACCCGCTGACCCCAGGGCGGGGGACAGAGATGAGGACACTGCCATGACTCAGTAAGGCGAGGGCCTGGGACCCGGGCCTGGGCTGGGGGAAAGGCTCCAGAAAGAAAGTCGTGGCCATGCCTTTCATCGGGCCTGAGCCACAGCACAGAGGATGGGGAGGGGCAGGGTTTGTTGAGTGTCCCAACCCTGTTTGTCCCGCCCCCTGTGTCAACACGAGGCTGGCCTTATAAAGCACCAAGAGGCCCCCGGTGGGACGTTTCCTCAGCCACGCCAGCAGCAGGAGGAAGGTGGGTCCAAATCCAGCACCATGACGGAACTGGAGACAGCCATGGGCATGATCATCGACGTCTTTGCCCGGTACTCAGGCGATGACGGCAGCACACAGAGCCTGACCAAGGCAGAGCTGAAGGTGCTAATGGAGAAGGAGCTCCCGGGCTTCCTGCAGGTGAGTGCCCTGGCGGCAGTGGCCTTGGCCAAGGAGTGTGTGGAGAGTGGGCAGAAGGGACAGGAGTCAAACCCGGTGGCCGGAATGCAACAGCAACAGCTCCGGAGTGGACAGCAGCGGTGAAGAGGCTTGGAGGCAAGTGGGGCGGACCCTGGAAGGCCATAGATGCCTGGCCAAGGAATGGATCCTCTACCCAAAGGCGGGGGACACTGGAGCATCTGAGTGGGGAGGGGGAGCAGTCAGGTTGATTCCTGGAACATGGAGTTGAGCCCAAAGTGTTTGTGACCAGTATTCTTTCCCCGCAGGGGCCTGGTGGGATGGGATTCAATCCTGAGCAGTGGAGGTAGGGGGCGGAATGGAATCCAGAGCCATCCCTGAGGCCATTGCTGGTCCTTTGGAGCTGTCCCTCTCCAAGGCTGCTGGCCACAAACACCCCCGCTCACTGTCTACTTCCCACCTTCCTCCCATTCCCAGGTCCCTTGCTGCCTGGTATTAGTGGAACGGGCAGGAATAAGGACAGGAGGTCCTATTCTGGCACCCGTCCCCCAGAGCCAACAGCCTCCCTTAGACTCTTTGTGTCAGGCAGGAGCCATTGGGCCTGGAGCCTCACAGAAAGGCCCCTCAGGGCCTGGCTGGGACCAGCTATGTTCTGTCCTGGGCAGCCTCCGACAGGCCTAAACAGAGGCCCTCCCTCTGCCCCCCTTCCTCTTTTACTTCTGTCCCCTGTTGTCCCTTTCTCTCTTCTCACTCCCCCTCCTCTTTCTCCTTCGCCTCCCCCATCCCTCCAGCCCACCAGACTCTGCCCACCTGCCCTCCAAGGGGTCTATGACGGTGACCATTGAAAATGAAAGCCTGCAATTTTCAACCCAAGGCACTAAGCACTTCGGAACGTTAGGCTTCTATTTTCTAAATGTGAATGCAGTGAAGATATATCTTAAAAAATAAAATTCATCTGTTTTTCTCTATTATAAATATGTGTTTGTGGTAGAAGAAATATAGAAATGTAAATATAGGTATGTAAAAATATAGAAATGTGGAAGAAAGAAACGCTCCCTGGAATACAGACTGTCGCTTCCGGCTTTTTCCCCATGTGGACGAACATTAATATGTGTGAAATCCCAATTTATATGCAGTTTCTTTCTGAACTTAACACTACAGCATAAATTCTCAAACTCTGATGCTCACTGAACACCTACCCCATGCTGGGAACTTGTGCACAGGCACAGGGTGTTCTGATAATCATCAAAGCTTGAGAATTTAACCTGTTCTGATCCAAATCATTGGGGTGGCAGGAGGGGCAGATGCAGGTGTCTGGAGAACACACTTTGAGAACCAGCGACTGAGCCAAAGCTTCTCAAACTTGGATTACATCAGAGTCACCTGGAGGAATTTAGTAAGAACAGAAGGCCCAGGCCCTCCAACAAGCCCAGCCTCTGTACAGTTTCTCAGCCCTCCCTCAGGGTGGTTCTGAAGCAGGCAGAGGTGGAGAAGGCTGGAGAACAGGGTCCACCTGAGGGCAGGGACCAGGCTGGCCTTGTGGCCCTGTTCCCTCAATGCCCAGACCAATGTCTGACACAGTCGGGAGTGTCATAAACACTAGGTAACTGTCGGGCCGGCCCCGTGGCGCACTCGGGAGAGTGCAGCACTTGGGTGCGCAGCAGCGCTCCCGCCGCGGGTTCGGATCCTATATAGACATGGCTGGTGGGTTGCGATCCCCTTACCGGTCACAGAAAAGACAAAAAAAAAAAAAAAAACACTAGGTAACTGTCGGGCCGGCCCCGTGGCGCACTCGGGAGAGTGCGGCACTTGGGTGCGCAGCAGCGCTCCCGCCGCGGGTTCGGATCCTATATAGACATGGCTGGTGGGTTGCGATCCCCTTACCGGTCACAGAAAAGACAAAAAAAAAAAAAAAAACACTAGGTAACTGTCGGGCCGGCCCCGTGGCGCACTCGGGAGAGTGCGGCACTTGGGTGCGCAGCAGCGCTCCCGCCGCGGGTTCGGATCCTATATAGACATGGCTGGTGGGTTGCGATCCCCTTACCGGTCACAAAAAAGACAAAAAAAAAAAAAAAAACACTAGGTAACTGTCTGGCTTCCAACTTCATAAACTTCACTTTTAGTGGCTGCAAGGTATTCCGATGTATGGGCGTACCACTGTTTACTATTGACTTGTAGACTCCCCGTACTTCTGCTATTCCAGACTATGCTGTAAATAACATCATCATGCATACAGCTGTGTCTCGGTCAGATCTGTTTCTCCTGGTTTTAATTGCGGTGTTTCCTGGCAGCAGCAGCTTTTGGGTCCTGGGTTGGGTCGTTAGCGCCCCCTGCTGCTATGTTCAGATCTGTACTCTGGTTCTGCTTGGTCCCTTGGTGAGTACAGTACATTTGCCCTGTCACAGAAGTAGGCTCTTGCGGGCCTGCTCCTCTCAAAGAAGACTTGGGACCCTGAGGCCCCAAGGTGGGGTGCCTGAGCATAGAGGAAGAGTAGGGCCTCTGTACTTCCTCTACACCTGGATCTCAATGCGGTTTTCCCCTTCTCCTCATGTGACCTTGGACAGGTCCCTTGGGCCCTCTGGGCCTTATCGTCTTCATCTGTAACATGGGTGATGCACCCTCCTTGTCTGGTGGTTGTGAGGATTACAGGTTTCTGTAAAGCAGCTAGCTCAGGGTTGGCATGAGATGGGACACCCACAAAGTTAGCAGCACACAAAGAATAGAGCATGGAATAGATGCATTTCCTAGGAATAATCATCATTTTAAAGCACATTATCCCCTTCAAAAAATAAAATAAAACTCCCTTTTTCATAGCATAACACAATTCAAATTTGGCCTATAAAGATTACAGGTTAGTTCATGTCATGTCACATAGCTTAGGGCAGCTCACAACTTCTTAAAGCCGTGTGTCTGGTACACAGAGCTAGATCTGGAGCTGAGCCTGCATCACAGCAAATGCTGCACAAATGCAGGGCCTTCCTCTTCCCAGCAGCAGTGCTTGGCTGAGGCTGACGCCCTGCATGGGCACCCTCAATGCTGACCCTGGGCTTCTCTTTCCTCTAGAGCGGAAAGGACAAAGATGCTGTGGACAAACTGCTCAAGGACCTGGACGCCAATGGAGATGCAGAGGTGGACTTCAACGAGTTTGTCGTGTTTGTAGCTGCCCTCACGTCTGCCTGTCACAAGTACTTTGAGCAGGCAAGACCCAAATGACGCCCTGGGGATGCAGAGTCCTAGCAGGCAGGCCTGGGAGTGGGTCCCTGGCTTCCGCAAAGCCCTTGTTTGTGATCACTTCCCTGGGCTGAGCCTGCCACTGTACCTCTCATTAATAAATACTCATGAAATGATCCTGGTCTCAGGAAAATCGATTATTTACTTAAAACCTCACGTTTCCTTGCCCCAACAAAAAATAATTCACTAATTAAATTTGTCATTTAATTACTTATTACCTGACTGGTGGAGAGGTGGAGATGAAAAAGACACAGGTCAGTTGGTGAGAATCCATTTACTGGTTACTTCCTGAGTGCTGGCCCCATGACGGTGGCACTGTCGTCGCCCTCTCATGTATTCCCCAGCACAAAGTGAGTGCCACCCTATAGTGAATCCAAGGGAGTCTTAGGGGCAGGGGGAAGGGCACGCATCCATTCATTCATTCAGTCACACAGTCAGTCAGTCGTGTAGCTACTCATTGGCCCCTCCGTCTCTCCAAACATCATGTTTTTTCAGGTAACATACTTTTAATGATACAATACTATTATTGCCAAAAAGACCACAAAACACAGCAATAGACTCAGAGAAGAAATGAATTGCAAGTTAGGATTAGAATCACCAGTGATGTGACAACTTCCCATGTCACCGATGTTTACAGTTTTATGATACTATCTTCAAGGAAGCAACCAAAGTGACTCAGATGAGATCTTAGATATTAGGTTGGTAATTGGATCTGGTTTTAGGACCCCTATCATTTTCTGAATAACCAGCATTCAAAGCCTCTTCTTATGTTTGAAGACATTTTTACCAGAGAAGAAATGGGCATCACCGAAAGATCCTAAACTTGGGCGCGGACACAATGAGGCTTTGCTGCATCCTTCTTTGGGGAAGGGTCCACAGACTGCAAGTGTTTTTGTAAGAGGGAAGGGCATGTTAGATTAGATGGGAGCAGGGCCGGCCCGTGGCTCACTGGGTGAGCGTGGTGCTGATAACACAAAGTCAAGGGTTAAGATCCCCTTACTGGTCATCTTTAAAAAAAACAAAAAGTTTTATTTAGGGCTGGTTGGTTAGCTCACTTGGGAGACCTAGGATTACTAGATCAGAGATTTTTTTATTGTGACAAAAATTCAAAATATTTACCATCTTAACCATTTCCATGTGTACAGTTCAGTAGTGTTAAGTATATTCACACTGTTGTGCAACCAATCTCCAGAACGCTTTCCATCTTGTAAAAAGGATACTCTGTACCTATTAAACACTAATTCCTGGTCCCCTGCCCCTAGCTGCTGGCAACCACCATTTTACTATCTCTATGAATTTGACTCTCTAGGTACCTCATATGGGTGGAACTGTACAATATTTATCCATTTGTGACTTGCTAACTTCATTTAGCATAATGTCCTCAAAGTTTCATCCATGATGCAGCCTGTGTAAGAATTTCCTTCCTTTTTCAGGCTGCATAATATTCCCTTACATGTATATACCACATTTGTGTACCCATTAATCTATTGACAAACACTTGGGTTGCTGCCAGAATTTTTAAAAAATGCAATATTTAACCCAAGTCAAGTGTTTCCACTGTCATGCTTGGTAAAAACAAGTTGCAGCCCTTTCCCAGTTAATTATTGATGCAAGGGCAGCAGTCACCTGGGTCGGAGGCACCCCTGGCTCCTGGGCTTTTGGTGGCACAGCTTGCTGCACTTTGCAGAATTGTTCCTTGGGGGCCGGCCCGGTGGCGCACTGGATAGTGCGCCACTTGGGAAGCGCAGTGGCGCTCCCGCCCGAGGGTTCGGATCCCACATGCGGACCAGTTCCCGCTCACTGGCTGAGCGAGGCGCAGGAGCAACACCGAGGGTTGCGATCCCGTTGCCGGTCCCCGGTCCGGTACGGGGGCAACACTGAGGGTTGCGATCCGTTGCCGGACACGGAAAAAGACAAAAAGACAAAAAAAAAAAAAAAAAAGAATTGTTCCTTGGGCTATACTCCATCCCTGGGGGAGGCCAGCGCTTTTTTACCTTCTCCAGAATATCCAATGCCTTGGGTGCTGGGACTGCCATGACCTACCTAACGGCTGAGTGCAGCAATTCTCAATTAAATGTTAAAACTTACAGAAATCACAAACTTACAGAAAAGTTAGAAGTACATTATACCCCACCCCCACTTCTGTCTCCTTCCCCCGTCCCCTGCCCCTCCCACTGCTCTAAATTTTAAAAAGATGTACAGTATAAAGAACTTTATTTTTCTGAATTATTTAAGAATAAGCTGATTCACCACCCTTGAATATGTTAGTGTGAATGTTCTACAAATCCTACATAACCACATCATCCTACATAACCACAATGTAATCACTAGTCAGAAAATTAACACCCATACATTACTATCATCCAATCTTAAAGTACCTATTCTAGTTTGCCAGTGAATTGTTCTAATAATGTCTTTTATAAAGCAAAAGGATCCCTTTCATAGCAATAAAGCATCACTGTTGCATTTAGTTGGCATATTTCCCTGCTCGTCTTCAATCAGGGACAGTTCCTCCACCTTTCCTAGACTTCCATGACCTTGACACCTTTGAAGAGTACAGGCCATTCTTTTGTAGAATTTCTTTCGGCTTGAATCTGATGTTTCCTCATGATTAAGTCCAGGTTATGTATCTTTGACAAAAATACCATGCGAGTGATGCAATGTTCTTACTGCATCCTATCAAATGTCACATGATGTCAATCTGTCCCATTACTGATCACATTTACTTTCATCAGTAGATTAAGATGGTGTTTGAAGAAATACCCAATACCAGAACTGGGGCAAGGAAAGTACAAGATGTATCTAGAACATCTTGCTGTGACACAGAGCAAAGATGTGTTGAGTGAATGACTGGGATAAAGTCAAAAGGACACAGTAGCCATCTTGAATGGGCTTCCACTGGTCAAATCAAAGTGTTTGCCACTACAGTTATTATTTTCACGTTTGTAATTAATTAGAGAGGAACTCTGAAACCATGTAAATATTCTGCTCCTCATCAAGCATTTAATTCATTCATGTACTTTTTTTTTTTTTTTTTTTTTTTTTTTTAAAGATGACCAGTAAGGGGATCTTAACCCTTGACTTGTTGTTATCAGCACCACACTCTCCCAGGTGAGCCACAGGCCGGCCCCACAGCCACTGTTAAGTACGATTTTTCTCTGTGCTCAAGTACTTGATTTTTTTTTTTTTTTTATAAAGATGACCGGTAAGGGGATCTTAACCCTTGACTTGGTGTTGTCAGCACCACGCTCAGCCATTGAGCGAACCGGCCATCCCTATATGGGATCCGAACCCGGGGCCTTGGTGTTATGAGCACCGCACTCTCCCGAGTGAGCCACGGGCCGGCCCTCAAGTACTTGATTTTTTTTTTTTTTTTCATAAACATGACCGGGAAGGGGATCTTAACCCTTGACTTGGTGTTGTCAGCACCACGCTCAGCCATTGAGCGAACCGGCCATCCCTATATGGGATCCGAACCCGGGGCCTTGGTGTTATGAGCACCGCACTCTCCCGAGTGAGCCACGGGCCGGCCCTCAAGTACTTGATTTTTAAGATCCCTATTTTACACATTAATCCAAAACATTCATCTACACTTATTATGATCACATATTTGTTCATATAAAATTACATTTAGCAATTATGGAAACTGCACTATGCCTGTTCTACAGCTCTAAGCATCCATTAGCACTCTGTGAGGTTGCACTGCAGGGTGAAGAAACCTCAAAGTACAGGTTTATAGAGAAAAATTAACTCCTTGGCAAAGACCTCTTAGCCCTGCTTGACTTTCACCCCATCTCTCACAACCCCCTGCATACTCCTTAAGTTCCAGCTCACTGGCCGTCTCCTCAGTGCAAGAGTTTTAAAAAGCTTTTGTTCCTGCTGTTTCCTTTGCCTCAGATACCTACATGTGTTTCTACTTTCAGAAGTTATACTCAGCATTCAAGTTCAGTTAAGTCACTTGCTCTGAAAAGCTTTCCCGGACTCCCCCCTCCTCAGGGGAGCACAGTTGTCTCCCTCCTCGGGGCTCCCACAAGACATTCAAGCACACTATATTGTAATTCCTTCTTTCCATTGCTGTCCCACACCTTTGCCCAATCTATGTCTTACCTTTATATTCCTAGTGCCTTGGGCAGGATACGAAGCCCATTACATTCCCACTGATATGTAAACACACATCAGCTGCTGAAAAGCAGGGACTTGGACCAGAGGATGGCCTACAGTTCATGTCTCTTAAGAACTCGATGTTCTGTCATCTCACCCCCATAGCACCTTCCAGAAATAATTCTCCCTCAAATTAAAGGCCTATTGAGAGCCTCATAAACTACAAGCAGTTTACCCACATTTGATGTTAATGACATTCAAGGAAGAATAACCATTTCAGAAAAAATTTATTTATGATTATTTTATTAACACACACAGGGACTTTGCTGGTTTGCACAAAAAATTTATTTTGCAAAAAAAAGGCTTTTTAGGTCTTTGTTTTTTGAGGAAAATGAACAATTATTAAGTGTTTGATTTCGACCTCAAATCCCTGTCAGGTCTACTGCCCTGAGGAACTAGAAGAGACTTTACAAGCCTTGAGGATGCCTTTTCCTTTCTCCAGCTATACTCTGAAGCCCCTGTAATGTGTGACGCTTCACAATAGTAAAGCATCATTCCCCATCCAAACTTCTTTGTCATGTAACACCAGCTAGGCTGTCTAAATCAACTCACCTGACAGGTTACACAATTTATATCAGACAATGTGCTACAGAACACAGCTCACCTTCTTCGTCTCACAGACGAGCTAAAGTCCTAAAATATATACAAAACCATCTTCCATCTCCAACTGTCTTCTGGTTCTTCCCAGCTTTCTGCAGAGCAGTATCATTCATACATTTTCACCAGCTACAAACATGTAGTGTAGTGCCTCCACTGCACCTATAAAGTTGGAAGGTTCTGACCCCAAGTCTTCACGTGTCCCAAAGTTCCAAAAAACAATCAGGTCACATAGGTAATAGTAAAATACAAGGACATGCCCAACAGTTCAAAAACACAGCAAAGTAACAAGAATAAATGTGACCAGTAAAACAACTTTTGAATAAGCTTAATTTCTCTTATGAGATTATCTCTCCAACAAGTTATCTTTCCAGAACGAAATACATTTAATGAGTTAAACCCATATTAAAGTCACAACCACTGACCCTAAGGCAGACTGTTAGACAAGGGTAAAAACACACACAAAAAAGAAACAGAACAAGAAGTTTCAGTTTCCTCAAGGTGCCAGTCCATCCTTACCAGCTGACCAGAGTCCATTGACTGTGAACCTAAAGCACAATTGGGAGAAATTTACCATCAAGACATTGAGTCTCAGATTTCCATTTCCTGACGTTAAAAAAAGAAATGTTAACCACCCACGAGAATGCCATTTGTTTCAGACAAGGTACTCTGACATACTTCCGGTTCTAGAAAATCTGGGAACTTCTAGTGATGACCTCTGGCTTTACACTTTTCTACTTCTCTTTCCCTGCGTTCTCTCTCTCCCCTATTTTGCGCTATGACCTAGGATTTCTTTCGTTTTCCTCCAACTCCTTCAGTGCCGAGGCACGTCTACCTCTGGAGACTGTCCTATGAGAACTGACTTTTACGTTTCAGAAACACACACCCGAAGTTACTTTTATTTTCCTCCAACTACCAGGGAGGGGGGACGGCACCGCCAAAAGCAACATGTACTAACACCGAACAAAACTAGCACGCTCGTATTTCCTCTTGATCCCAACTTCGTTCCCAAGGCCCAATTTTTGATGCAATAAAAAGGAAGCTTGCTCCTAGAAGATCACTCTTTTTCCAGGAAGCTGCCTCACCAGGCCGTGGCAGCTATGAAGACTCCCATCCAGCTCCCGCCGGTTCCCGCGCTTACCGCCCAGCCTCCTTCAAGACGACTCGCTCCTCTCTATTCGGCAGACGAGCTCGACCAGCATCTCTGCCATCTTCGCGATCTCCTTGGCCTTCTCCTCGGCCCTGTCGCACAACTCCGACACCCTCTCGTCAGCCTGGCCCCGTGGACACTGAACGCGGTTCAGGGCGCTCTCCTCCGACGCCTCCACCTGGGTCTTGATCTGGATGAGCATATTGTCCATCTCCCACAACTTGCTCCTGGTCCTCAAGTACGCCCTCCCGTGCTCGCGGATGAGGGACGCGATGTCCTCCCGCATCTCGCTGATGACGGGAAGCAGAAACTGCTCGAAGTCCTCCTCGGGCTCCAGCACCTCCACCTCCTCCGGCGCTTCCACCTCGTCCACGTCCAGGGGCCGCATCCTGTCCTGCCGCTTCTTCAGAACCGCGGGATCTCCTTACCCGCACCCCTTGTCAACAGTATTCCCGAGTTAACTCTAAGCTCTCTTTTCCTTCCAATTTTAAGCCTTTCTCTTCAGAAATGCTGTGGGACGAGCTACCTCCTACTCACACAGCCGGGGCGGGGGCGGGGGAACAAAATGGACCCGCAGCCGTCAACCAGCCCTCCGCGTGTTTGCGGCCCTTTCACGACATGGCCGGGCCCCTTTACGGTCACGCCTTCGGCAAGACCACGGAGCGGGCGCGCGCACGTAGAGGGATCTCAGCCGCGCGCGCGAGCCCAGCCCCGGATTCCCAGCGCCATGCCCCGCCCTCTTCTCTGACCTGCCTGCAGGCGCACGGGTGGTTTCCTGGCGGCGGGTTTGCCCGCCTCCTCCACAGCTCCCTTCCTGGAGGGCTTGGGCTTTTACTTTTTTTTTTTTTTTTTTTAAGTAAAAGCAATCTTCCCTCCCCCAGATTTGAATAAGACTGGCTGGCGTTCAGAGCGCTTATTATCCAAGCAAATACAGGCTTGGGTTAACTTGTATTAATTCTTTTAATTCTCACAACAAACCTATGAGATAGGTGGAAAACTGGCTACGAGCCGTGCTTATGGATCTGAATTTGAACTCAGAGCAATTTGAGTCCACAGTCCCTACTCCTGACTGCCACACATGCTCCCTCTTCTGGGACAGAGCCCTTAGAGTCAAAAACCGTGGACGCCAACAGCTCTTTCCTCTGTACTCCCACCGCTCACTCTCACACTTTTGTTACAGGGGGATTTCATTCTCATTGCCCTAGTCAGTTAGTTTTTGGTCTCTCTTAACCACGTTGTTAGCACCTCAAGGTAAAGGGCCACTTCTGATTCGCTTCTGTCCTCAGCCCTTCATGGCAGCCTGGCACCAAGTAAGGCCCTAGGGGGTACTTTATAGAGAAGGAATTCTTCCCTAATGTGCTTACCTCCACCAGACTGGAGGCTCCTTGAGGACAGGTTCTGGATTTGGTCGCCTCTATGACCCCATCACCCATAGGGCCTGAAAAGCATCAGGGGCCCAGTTAGTGCTGCATTAATAGTTACTTAAGAAATACATTTTGAGGGCCGGCCCAGTGGCGCACTGCTACAGTGCGCCGCTTGGGAAGCGCGGCGGCGCTCCCGCCGAGAGTTTGGATCCCACATACAGACCGGCCGCTCACTGGCTGAGCGAGGTGCGGGGGCAACACCGAGGGTTGCGATCCCGTTGCCGGACATGAAAAAAGACAAAAAAAAAAAGGAAAAAAAAAAATACATTTTGATCACTGACATGCCATTGTGGAATGCATGAAGCCTATTTCTAGGCTTGTTGACACACACGGTGCCACACTAGTAGTAATTTGGTGAGAATCTTGTGTGCATAAGTGCCACAGACCATAGCTTCAGTTTTCTGGTCTGATAAAGACCAGTGGTCCCAACCTGAATATCTGTCAGTGGGATGAGGCATTCACGATATGATGTGTATGAAAGTATTTTGCAATCATCAAAGCACTAGCAGATAGATGTTTGTCAAAAGACACCATTAAGAGAGCGAAAAGGCAAGCCACAGAGGGTGGGAAAAGATATTTTCAATAGATATATCTGACAAAGGACTCATATTCAGAATATATTGAGATCTCCTACAGATCGTTAAGGAAAAGACAAACAACCAAATTTAAAAATAGGCAAAAGACTTGAGCTGACACTTCAGAAAAGAGACATTTCGCAAATGGCAAATAAGTATATAAAAAGGAGCTCAACTTTATGATTCAACAGGGAAACGCAAATTAAAACCACAATGAGATAGCACCACACATTCACTAGAATGGCAAAAATTCAGAATATGAACAATACCAAGTGTTGGGGAGGACGTGGAACAAGTGGAACTCTCATACATTCTTGATTGGTATCTTAGTCTGCTTGCTCTTCCATAACAAAATACCATAAACTGGTTGGCTTAAACACAGACATTTATTTTCTCACAGTTCTGGAGGCTAGAAGTCCATAATCAAGGTGCCCACAAATTTGGTTTCTGGTAAGGCGAGGGCTCTCTTCCTTGTTTGCAGGCCACCTTCTTGCTGCAGTCCTCACATGACACGAATTTTGAGGGAACACAAACACTCAGACCATAGCATTATCTCATATAGTTTTAGCTCAGGATCTTCTCATGAAGTTGCAGTCAAAATATCAGCTGGGCTGCAGTTTTCCTTAGGCATGAATAGGACTGGAGGATCTACTTCCATGATGGCTTGATCATGTGGTTATTGGAATGAGGCTATTTTTCTTCAGCTGTTGGCAAAAAGCCTCAGTTTTTTGCTATGTGAGCTTTTCCACAGGGCTACTCACCACAACGAGCTGGTTTCCCCCAGAGCAAATTATTGGAGAGGATGAGATGCCATGCTACCTTTTATGAACCAATCTCCAAGTCACTCAACATCACTTCTGCCTTTTTCTACTTATTATGAGCAAGTCACTAAGTCCAGTACACACTTAACAGGAGGGAATACACAAGAGTGTGAATACCAGGAGGTGGAGATCATTGGGGATCATCTTGAAGGCTGGCTACCAATCACAGTTCTCCCTCTGACTAACAACGATTCATGTCCTTCCAACATGCAAACCACACTCATCCCCACCCAAAGCCCCCTAAAGTTACTTAAAAACAAACAAACAAACAAACAAAAGTCATGTATTTTTATGTATTACTATCCTATTGCAGCATCTGCTTCTAAATTATATCAGATTCAGATGAGGCTCCCTGAGTGAAGTTTCTTAAATCCAGCACCTGGAGTACAGTTCTTCATCATCTCTAGACCTTTGAATCTAAAGAGACAAGTTATCTGCCCCCACACATCCAATATACAATTGTGCAGCAGGCATAGGATCACCATTATAGACATTCCTGTTCAAAAAATTGGGGAAATGGGGGTACAAATAAGTCACTGATTCATAGGAACTCTTCAGTCCAGTCGCGAGGTACAGGAACAATTCCCCATGACTCTCATCTCTACCACCCGGGCTCTTGGTTCCACATTCTGAGTCATACTTCCTTTTTCATGAAAGGTAGCATGTCAGTGTTTGCTGATGGGTCACTTTCTCGGTCTGCTTTTGTAGAAGTTTGGGCAGGGTTCAAAGGCCTTTCATTTTGTGCCGTCTCAGTCCCTTTCAGTTCAAGCTGCAGGGTTTGTGCTGATATAATTAGCTTAAATACTTTGTAGGCTTTCTGTGAATCTCATTGGGGTTCATTCCATTAGACAAAAGCCCTACATACATGTCCCTTTAAGATAAGTTCACCTCTACCTTGGGCTTCCACCAATAATGCTGAAGAGCCAGCCCTTAAGCTTCCTAGAGACTCCATTTGCGAGACTGTGAGGCACATCCTGATCTCTTTAAGCAGCTGTTGGGTGACTTCATGGTCCTCTGAAGCACCACTTCTGCTTTTTCTGAGATTTTTGAGAAGGATTTTACAGTCATACCTCAACTTTATCTTTTTGGGTTTTTTTTCCCCTCCTGCAGTACCCTGGGATATGATCCTTTTTTTTTTAAAGCTATTTCTTAACTTTTACATTATTTGCAGTCTGAAGAGACTGGGAACGTTCAAAATCATTTGAAGTCACCAAGGTCCATCTTCTTCGTGTTTAACAGACCTTCCTTTTGCTTATCTCTCTTTTATTCTACTACAAACAGCAAGAAGGAACAAAGAACAGGTGGGAGAACTTCATGAGTGCTGGACATCTGTATGTTGGTCTGGATAGAGGTCACCTAGTTGTATGGATATGTAAAAAGCCATCAGTGTCCACACGTCAGATACATGCACTTTACTATATTCCTGTTACACCGTCGTACTTTTTTTAATGGGTTCTGAGTGTGAGGGCGGGCATGGGGACACCAGACCGCGCGTGCCCGAGCGTGTGCGCGCCTGGAGCCCGGAAGAGATGTGCGTGTGCGCGCACGTACGCGTGCGTGACGTGAGCGCGCGGAGGCTGCGCAGGCGGCCATCGCGGGCATGGAGGGTCGCCCCGGGGACCGCGGGCCGCCCCGTGAGGAGCAGGCCGAGGAGGCCGAGCCGCCGGACGTCTCCTGGAGCGGGGACAGTGGCAACGTGTCGCAGAGTCAGAGCAGCGCCTCGGGCCCGTGGGAGGAGCCGGGCGCGGAGGACCGCGCGCCGGGCCGCGACCTGGAGGCCGGCGGTGTAGCCCGCGGCGACGCGGCGCAGCAGGGGC